TATTCTATTCATATCCCATACTCTACTCTACTCTACTCTACTCTACTCTACTCTACTCTACTCTACTCTACTCTACTCTACTCTACTCTACTCTACTCTATAGTATCTCCTATTATTCCTGCGTTTTGTTCCGTGAGCTCTTTTGCGCTTTTAAGCGCGAAGGAGCTAAAAAAAAACGACGCTTCCCTTATTCTTGCCTTCTCTCGTTTTCGGGAAGAAGGCAATTCCGACATTTGACGCGTCTTGCTTTGTAAGCTAGCAGGGTATTGAATGAGCCCGTTTGCTGCGTTCTCACCACATCTGGAACTAAGCAAACGGGCTGGGTCCTCAAAGCAGACGAGCGTCAACGAAAAACGCTTCGTGGGTCGTCTGAATGGGCTTTCCTATACCTTCTTCGCTGACCTGGGGTTGCTCCTACCCGCTGGCTGAACCGATTCAGCGGAGACAAGCAGGCCGGACCTAGCAGGCGATAGTCCCGGCAGCCTCCCTCCAATTGCGGTCAGGCCGCGTTCGGTCGCGGGGCGGTTTAAAGGGACGATTTGGGGAGGGAATCGACTCGCCTCGATTTCAACCCTGCGTAACTCAAGCTTTCCGGCCCGACGGCGAGGATTCTCTCTGTCCCCCTTCTCCCCTCCTCCCCCACTTTGTTTGCTCCCTCCTTACCCGGAATATATAGGGGACGGTCCTCTTATCCGTGGACTTCAGCGCCACGAAAGCGATGCTGTCGTAGAGCGAGGTGTGGCTGAGCACGCAGGGGCCGAAGATGGCATTCTCCGGGATGTCGCAGGTGGTGTAGACGCTGGTGAAAATGTCCGTCAGGCATTGCTGGACGGCCTTGGCGTCTCCGTCCCAGATGCTCCGGGGCACCCCGCTTTCGTCCATGGCTGGAAAGGGGAAAGAAGGGGACGGTTGTCATGGAACCGCTCTGAAACGAAGCCCGGTGATCGTGGGGACCTCTTCCCTCCCTCACCAGGGGCTAGAGTCTCCTTTGGCTTTTGTGAACCTTCCCCAAGGTTCCGCAACCTTAAACACTCAAAAGAGCTATTTGGACCCATTTCCCACAGAAAAGAAAACACCGGGTGCCACAAAACCCTTCCGGTGCCTGACTGTTTCCTGAGCCGCCACAAAACCAGCTTATGTAGTCGAATTAAACATTCTGTTTTCGCCTGAAACTTTTCTTTTCTTGGATTTATCCATGGTTGGGTTCAAAAGATAAATAAATCACGTGCCAGCGGGTGTGGCACATTGGCAGTCGTGACACATATTTTGAGGGACAGGGAGCCGCAGCAGAGGGATGAAAGAGCCACAAGCGGCTCCAGAGTCATGGCTCTGGAGCAAAAAAAACCTTACCACTTTCCCCAAAGTTAAAACCTTCCTAGAAATGGAGATGCCAACTCCATTGGTGGAGAGACCAGTGGAGAAGCCTGCGACCTACTTAACTTCCTTCCCCCCAAAACGCAGGGAGGGGGCTGTTTTCCGCTTTCCCAAAACACGGCCAAGGCCCGGGAGTGCGTTTCTCTCCTTCGAATCGCCCATAGGAGGAAAACTTTAGCCGGCATTTGGCTGAGCCCGACCGGCAGCGCAGGTCGAACCAATCGCTCTCAAACCTCCGGTTGAACGGCTGGGCTTCTAATTTAGGAAGGGCAAAAAACGCCAGTTTGGATGTGTCTGGTTGAGCCACCCAAACGGGCATTTCCCCCTCAGGAGGAGAAAGGAGGAGGAGGAGGAGGAGGAGGAGGAGNATATGCTGACTCTCTGTAAACCGCTTAGAGAGGGCTGAAAGCCCTATGAAGCGGTATATAAGTCTACTGCTATTGCTATTGCTATTGCTATCTCCTTCTCTGGCTTTGGTCTTATATCCGCTGAGACTCCAGATCCAGGGACCTCCGGGATCCCCACCCCTCCCTCCCTCCTTCTTATGAGTTGTCACCTACCCTTCATCTTGCTCTGGGTCCTGGCGGGGCTCAGTAGCAACAGCTCGGTCAGGTCCTTCCCATACCACACCAACAGCTCCTCGTCTTTGGCAATTCTCCGCAGGGAGCGGTAAAACAGCTGCCCGTTCTTGATGTAGGCCTCCAGGTTCTGCTCCTCTTTGTCCCGCGCCGACTGGACCAAGCGGAGCCACATCAGGCCTTCGGAGGAGCCGTTGGCCGCCGAGGTATCCACCTAAAGTGGGCGGGGGGGGGGGTAGGAGAAAGGAAAGGCGGCGGAGCTTTGAGTAGAGGAACCGGCTGCCCAACTACACAATACCCGGCCTGGACATCCAGGAGGAGGCGGTTGGGTAGGAGCGATAAAGAAACGAAGGCAAGGGCTACGTTTCTGCTTCATTGGGATTGTAGCCCTGGCTGTGTTTTGGCAGAAAAAAACAATGGCTGCCAACCTGCCTTCCATTGAGACCTGTACACTGCATGAGTCAAAAAGAGCGCTGTGAAAATATCTACAGACCCCTCGCATCCTGGACATAAATTGTTTCAATTCCTACCCTCCAAACGACGCTATAGGGCTCTGCACACCAGAACAACTAGACACAAGGACAGTTTATTCCCGAATGCCCTCACTCTGCTAAACAACTAATCCCCACAACACTGTCAAATTACCTACTAAGACTGTATTACTACTATTCCTCTCAACCTTCCTATTACCTATCTCCTCCTACTTTGGACTATAACCATGTTGATTGTATCTTTACGATTTATATTGTTTTGTTTGTTTTCTAGTATGATTTTGATTGCTTATTAGTAACCTACGACTACCACTGTTGTATTTTATGATTCTTGATGAATGCATTCTATTTTATTTTTCTTTATGTACACTGAGAGTTTATGCACCAAAGACAAATTCCTTGTGTGTCCAATCACACTTGGCCATCAAAGAATTCTATTCTATTCTATTCTATCCCATTCCACTCCACTCTATTCTACTCTATTTTATTCTAGTCCTTATTCTATTCTATTCTATTCTTCCCTTATTCTATTCTATTCATATCCCATCCCATCTATTCTATTCTATTCTATTCTATTCTATTCTATCCTATCCTATCCTATCCCATCCCATCCCATCCCATCCCACTCCACTCCACTCCACTCTACTCTATTTTATTCTAGTCCTTATTCTATTCTATTCTATTCTATTCTA